CATATTCCTCCTGTAGAGGGACATGCCCGATTTGAGACAAATTGCGGGAACACAAGCAATTCTTTTCAGCATAGTCGTTTTGTCGTCGATAATGCAAACGGCGCCGTTGGAGAAACCACGAGGTACCGATACCGCAACTCCCCGGATCTCTCCTGGGGTGCGGTCTGACCAGGACCTCGAGGCGAATCCAGCGGTGGCGACGAGGGCCTCCCAAGAGACCCCCAATGGCGAAAACGAGGCAAGGGTTGAAAGAAGTATGTAGAAATATGAAGTGGGAAGGCGTTGAGAGTAGATTGGGTGTCCGCCCGCCCCCTAGAGAGGAGGGAAGAGGGAACACCACGCGACTCTTGAAGTAGGAAGGCGTTTAACGCAGATTGGAATCTGGGACTCCGAGAATACTTTCTCTCAATCATAGATCGATGGGTAGCGGTATGGGTACCCCGAATTTCTCAGTAATCAACCAGGGGGTGACAAACGTGAAAACGCTGCGCGGCCAACCCCCCCCCCTGCACCACCCCCGCGCCCCAGCGGGGCAGGGAAAGAACCCCAACCCCCCCCGTGGTTCCCCCGCGGACGCGCCGCAGCCAACACCCCCGGGCACTCCACGGGGGGGGGGGGGGGCGATTATTATGAAGGGGCCCTGGGACACACAAATAAATACACACAAATAACAGAAGTCCCCCATATTTTCCCATATGTTCTGGGCTTTTGTCTCACCCCCACTCCCCATATTTTCCCCTATTTTCCTGGGAGTCGACGATGAAGTGTGTCTGTGTGTGTGTGTGTGTCTGTGTGTGTGTGTGTCTTTCTCCCCTGATATTAAGCGATCCAGAATACACCCGGCGAAATGCTCAAGAAATCATGGGTTAAGAAATTCATAATCTCAGATTTTGACAAAAAAACAACACATAATTTCTATTGAACTCATAGGATTTACATTGAAGCATGAAGAATAATCGAGACTCTGGTCGAAAACTTAAGTTTCCTCAAGCATCGCCTAGGGTGTACTTTTTCCTCCTTGGAGCGGTGGGAAAGACACGGGGGGCAGACGTCCCGCCGGAAGGGGCGAGACCTCGCTCGCCCCACAAACGGGGACTCCGCTAAGGGGTACTTTGCCAGGTGACCCAGCGAACCCAAGCCTTCCCGAGGCGGGCATCGCTGCGCTGCCAGAAAAGAGGCCCTAAAATGGCAACTTTCGGCAACATTGCAAAGTACCCGTTAGTAAGTCAGACGCCCCCAAAGTCGAATCGACAAGTCGGATCGGCGATCGAAATGAGTCGGATCGGCGGAAATCGGCAGCCGAGTCGGGAGAAGTCGAATCGGCGGAAATCGGCAGGCTAGTGTGCCTCCAGTAAGAAATCGGAGCCCAAATCGGAATCCGAAGCCGAATCGAATCGGAATCGGAAACCATCGAAATCGAATCGAATCGAATCGGAGGAATCGAAACGAGCCCTGGTAAGTGCCCGTTACGGTGCCGTTGAAGGTCTCGCTCGCCCCCTCGCCCGGCCGCGGGGCCGCGCGCGAGCGGGCCGAGGCGCTGCCCTCGCCTCGGCGCCGCGCAGATCTCAGCGGAGAGTGGCGCTCTCCTGCCTCGGCGCGGCACCTGCTGAAGGGGCCCGGGGTAGCATAGTAATTCACGGGCGGAGAACGGTATAACATAAACTTTTCGCTGTCGGGGGCGCCTGTCCCTGGGCGGCTGGAACGTTTATGTTATACCGTTCTTCGCCCGCTGAAGTAAGTACACGCGCGTCCCAGAACTGCCAATCTGTGCCATGTATCCTGGAGGCTCGTCTTCCCCTCCACCTCCCATGCCTTCGTATATTTGGGGGGGCATCAGCGATTCACTGTGCCTTTGTGTGCTTTTCCCCGCCTGGCAGATCGATCCTTCCGTCGCCAAGCCATTCGGGAGCGGGGCCGCACGCGAGAGAAAGAGCGCCTCCTCGCCCACCGCCCACAGAACTCCGTGCAGCTTCCGCCCAGAAGTGGCGTTCCTGGGAGGGGGATGAGGATGAGGAGGAGGAGGAGGAGGAGGAGGAGGAGGAGGAGGAGGAGGAGGAGGAGGAGGAGGAGCCCCTCCCCCCTCCGAGAGTCCTGGGGGCACTTTCGGCCAGGGACACTTCCAGCAGCCGCCGAGAGAGCGGGGCGTGCGCTGCTCCCGCACGGCGCAGGCTTCGTGCTCGCCGCGCTCCTCGGCGCGCTCGCCGCAGTGCCGCGCAAGAGGTCTGAGGCTCCGCTTCCCTCTGCTGGCGGCGCGCACAAGAGGGAGGGAGAGGGGGAGGGCTTCTTAGGAGGCTGCCTCTCAGAGGGCGCCGGCCTGACATCTACGTGTAGGTAAGGCCCGCGCCCTCTAGGAAGCAGGGGTGCTTCTGAGAAGCCCTCCCCCCTCGCCCCGCACCCCTCTGCGCGTGGCTGCCTCTTAGAGGGCGCCGGCCTGACATCTGCGTGCAGAGAAGGCCCGCGCCTTCTAAGAGAAGCAGGGGTGCTTCCAAGAAGCCCTCCCCCCTCGCCCCGCGCCCCTCTGCGCGTGGCCGAGTCCGTGCGCAGACGTCGCGCACTTCCCTCGCCCCGCCGAGCCGTCGGGAGCCCGGCCGCGCGCGAGCGTCTTCCGCCCGCCGGGCTGGGCCGCGCCCCTGCCGCTGGGAGGGAGGAGGGTGCAAAGGGGCAGGGCCCGTGGACTCGCTGGGCCTTCCTAAATCTGTTTCCACATCTTGCTCCCTCTCCTTCCTCCCTCCTTCCCTCCCTTCCTCTCCCTCCTTCTCCTCCTCGTGATGACCGTGCTCCTCCTCCTCCTCCTCCTCCTCCTCCTCCTCCTCCTCCTCCTCCTCCTCCTCCTCCCCCTCCTCCTCCTCCTCCTCTTCCTCCTCCGCCTCCTCCTCCTCCCTCTCTCTGTCGACGCGGGCGGAGAGGACTCGATCCTGCTGCCACAGACAGGCTCGGACGGAGAGGGCCCGCAGGAGGCTCGGGAACGCCGGCCGCCCGAGGAAGGGGCCAACTCGAGCAGGTGCAAGGCGAGGGGGGACACCCAAACCCCTGGCGACCCGGCCAAAAACCACGCTGGAGCCTCTTCGCGTCGTCGGATGCCCGTGGGCCGCTGCGGCCTCGGGGCAGCCCATGGAGGCCCCCAAGGTGGGGGTCAGAGTGCAGCCGGACCTAGGCCGGAGGAGCGTCCCTCCAGAGCACGACGGACCCTCCGTCGGCCAGCACGAGCAGGAGCCCCCAGGGGTGTCCTCCCCAGGATGCGCCAGCACGTCCAGCATGCACGAAGAACGCTGGGGCACCCTGCCCGGACCGACCTCGATCTGATACCTCGGTCCGACTGTACACGAGGTCCGAAGATCGCACACGATCGCCAATGCATCGCCGATGCATCGGTGACGCAGGAGATGCATCGACGCCGTCGGCGTGGAAACATCAGGCTCCACATCGAGCCGCGTCGCCGACGTATCGGCGATGCGGCACGATCCTCCGACCCCATCTGCTCGGACCCTGTCTGGGATGCCTGGAGCCAAGAGCGACGATCCGCGCATCGGGGGTGGCCAAGAGGGGCGCGTCCAAGAGGGGGGGGCCCAAATCATGGCTGGCGGCATGTGCGCGGCCCGAGGGGGGGGGGCATGGACATAATGAAATAAGAAGAGGCGCCATGAAATCTGGGGAAATATCAAGGCCCACGCCATGCTACCCCCCCCCCTACTTATCACCCCCTCTTGGCCGCCCCCGAGTGCAGGATGCAACGCCGCCCCCCGGCGGGGAGGGGGCCAAGACCTCGGGGACCGTCGGCTCGACACGCACCGAGCCGTCGCAGGTCTGAACAGCGCACACCTCGGCACCGTCTCTCCAGGGCCGCCCGGACCTCCACAGCGTCTGCCTTTCTCGGCAGAGGTAGCTGCGCGAGCAGATCCACGGTTCGCCTGCCCAGTGGTCTATGATGCAACGGCAGCGGCTTTTCTTACTCCAGATTTCGTAATAAAGAGAGGGGGGTCTCATTTCGGGGGGGTCTCTTCCAGGCTATCTTGGAGGGCCTGGGGGGTCTGGGGACGATGTTTTGGAGGGTTCTCGCACGGGGGAGGTCTGAAATGGCTTGTCCTGGAGGGTCCAGACACCCTCCCTTTTATTACGAACTCTGGAGCAGCCGAAAGGGCCGTCGGGGCAGTGAAAACCACAACAAGGGAGTGCCGGGGGGAATGCTGGGCGTCGGGGGAAGACTCGCCAAGGGGCGCGCGTCTCACCCTGCCCCTGCCTGGGGTGGCTGCCCGTGACCGCCGAGGAGGAGGATCAGGGGGACGTAAGACCTGGGTACAGGGGACTCGGAAATCCCCGACGAGGTCGTCAAAAAAATGACGAGGCCGAGCCTGCATTTTGACGAGGCCTCCCGCTGCAGACATCCCACGAAACTCCTCCTCGTCAAAATCCGAGGCGCGGTCGTCAAAAAACAATGGCGAACCCGAGTCCTTGGCAAACCCGGGTCTTACGCTCCCCCGAGAGGAGGAGGAGGAGGAGAGGGAGGAGGGGGGGGGGGGGGGGGGGAGGAGGAGGGAGAGGAGGAGGAGGGAGGAGGAGGAGGAGGAGGAGGAGGAGGAGGAGGAGGAGGAAGGAGGAGTGGGGAGGAGGAGGAGGAGGAGGAGGAGGAGGAGGAGGGGGAGGAAGGGGAGGGTTTCTCGCCGCGCAGGCCCAATGCACTGCGGGCGTCGGGAGCCCCAGCAGCGACAGCTGGAGGGGAGCCGGCAGCCTGGGAGGCCGGCCAGAACCCAGGCGACCCGCGGAAGGATGGCGACGAACGACGACGACGACGACGACGACGACGACGACGACGAGGACGAATGACGGCGACCAACAAACGGCGACAAACGACGACGACGACAGCGACGAGCGATGACGACGACCGACGACGAGCGACGGCGAACGGCGACGAACGACCGACGGCGACGAGCGACGGACGGCGACCAACGAACGGCGACCAAAGAACGGCGACGAACGAGGGCGACGACCGGCGGCAACCCAGTGGGCCTTCTGTGCCCGCCGAGGCGGCGGGACAGCGAAGCACCGCGCAGGCGACGAAGCCGCGCTCCTCCGTCGTGAGGCCCACCTCTGCCGGGAGCCCCGGGGGAGGGACGAATCGAGGATCGGGTGCACAAAAAGATCGCGCCGATTGTCCCCGACCTCTAGAGGATGCGGGTGGGAACGAAGAGCGAGACTCAAGCGCCGCCGCCTCCTCCACCTGCTCCACCTCCTCCTCAACCTTCTCGCCACCCTCCTGCTCGTCCTCCCTTTTCTGCCTCATCTTCCTTTTCCTCCTATTTTCTGCCCGTTCTCCTCCTCTTTCTCCTCTACTGCCCCCTCACTCTCTACCCTCGTCCTCCTCTTCCTGACCTTCCCCCGCCTCCTCCATCTACTCTTACTCCAAATCCCATTCGCCTTCCTCTCCTGTCACCGAACCAGCGCGCTCTTCCATCCTACCTCTCCTCCTCGTACCCGCGTCATCACTGAGTGAGTCCGACTGCTGCCCACATTCCCCTCCACACTGGAGAATCCGAGCCGTCTCAGCTCGAATGGGAGCAGCACTGCAAACGGAGAAGGCAGCCATGGCAGCCTCAGCCAGCAACAGATACATGCCATGATCGAGAAACACATGTTCATAGCAAAACAACGTTGACCCAAGCATATCCTGAGCGTCGCGAAGCTTGGCATTATCACAGAAGGCGTGGTGGCAACTGGGGGTCGCCAGCGCGCGAAGACGAAGCGCCCCTCGATATACCGCAAAAGGGGACTGCGACAGCCCGTCGCCGAGACGTGGCCTGCCGAGGTCGGCACGGCTCGGGAGCGGTGCGGAGCTCGGCCGCAGCCGCGCGCGACTGCCGCGCAGCTCCGCGCACGACATGCCCAGATCCAACTAGGGCTCCCAACTTCGCGCTTCGCGCTGCGCGAAGCGCGAAGCGCGAATAACTTCGCGCTCTCGCGCCGCTCCCCGAAAGCGAGAAAAGGAGGACGAGGAGGAGGGGGAGAAGGAACGAGGACCGCGAAGCGCGAATAACTTCGCGCCCTCGAGGGAGCCCTCCCAGCGGCCAGACAGCGCCCCCACGGCACAGTGCACGCGAACGTCTCGCGCACGCGAATGTCTCGCGCCCAGCGGCCCAGCGGCCAGGCAGCGCCCCGTGCCGTCGCTCCCCGAGAGCGGCTGCCCGACGCCCCGTGCCCTGGCTTTCCGTGCCGCGCAGGACCAAAGCAAATGCCATAGCTGAAGGGGCCCTGGGACGCACACATAAACAGACACGAACAACAGGGTTCCCCCTCTTGTCCCATATTTCCAGGGTTTCTGTCTTCCCCCCACTTCCTATGTTTTCCCGTATTTTCTGGGGAATCAGCGATTCATTGTGTCTGTGTGTTTTTCCCCCTCCTGAAAAACTTGTGTTGCTCCCATCGTACTTGAGGACCACGTCCCACAAATAGTTTCGAGCACACAGAAAAATGTCAAAACAATGTCGAACGAGTATCGCCTCCCGGGGCCCGACACGTGAAAACCCTCCAGTTTCGGTACTTTCCTGGTGCTCGAACTTTTTTCTGGCGCTCAAGGCCAAAGGAGGCTGGAACATCAGAAGCCACAGCGATCTGACGCGGTGGCTTGCGCCGGCCGCCAGCGCGACAGCCTACGTTGGAAGCGACGGCGCTCGCGCGCGACCTCACGCGGGCAACGTGTGCGCGAATGACCGCGCAATTGACCCCGCTTTCTTCCGTCGCTCAAACATCTAGAGGCAGGGCTGAACCTAAACGTTGTTTTTCGTTTTCGTTTTGTTTTCGTCTTCCTTCGTTTTGTCTTCAACCCGCCTTTACCGCAAAACGAAGTCGAAACGAAAACGGCCCACGAAATCGCAAAAGCACCGTTTGGGTCCAACCCTGTCTAGAGGCCCCGGGCACGCGGTGCAGCAGATGCGATCAGATAGAAACGAGGACAGGGGGGGGGGGGCAGGCAAGCACAGGAATACAGCTTGCGAGCGTCCGCGGGCGTGTCCTTCTCCGCCAGCGCTAGACGCGATTCCGCGGACGCAGGGGAAGAAACAGCTGCATGAACATGTCAACTCTCGGAGCTCCGCGCAAGTCCTTGGATCTGCGCTGAGTCCCCCTTCCCTCGCGCCAGGGGCGCGGCTGTGACCCCCTCCCTGGCGCGCGGAGCGCGCCAAGGGCAGCGCCGGAGGCGCTGTCAGGGGGGCCCAGCGCAGATCCAAGAATGAAGGGGCCCAGGGACACACAAATAAATACACACAAATAAAATTACCCTGGCGACGTACCCAACCCCTGCGCAAAAGCGGGGCGCAACTAGTTTAGGATACTTTATAAAGGGGCGATGACGGAGCGAGGGTTACATATGTCTGCAGACGGAATTCGGGAGACTCGCAGGACACTGGCTACAGGAAAAGGGCTTGATAAAGCTGATGAGTTACAATTCCTGAGCACTCCTAGCCACTTCGAAAACGGGGATCACAGCAGGCCTCGAAAGTGGCGACAGTTTCACAGATCGCAGCCCCGCAGGGATGGCGAGGTCTAATTTGGGTCCGCGCGTGGCGTCACTGTGCTGGGCCCCCCAGCAGGCCTCGAAAGTGGCGACAGTTTCACAGATCGCAGCCTCCAGGGGATGGCGAGGTCTCATTTGAATCTGCCCGTGGCGTCACTGCGCTGGGCCCCCCAGCAGGCCTCGAAAGTGGCGACAGTTTCACAGATCGCAGCCCCCAAGGGATGGCGAGGTCTCGTTTGAATATGCCCGTGGCGTAACTGTGCAGGGCCCCCCAGCAGGCCTCGAAAGTGGCGACAGTTTCACAGATCGCAGCCCCCCCAGAGATGGCGAGGTCTAATTTGAATCCGCGCGTGGCCCTCACTGTGCTGGGCCCCCCAGCAGGCCTCGAAAATGGCGACAGTTTCACAGATCGCAGCCCCCCAGGGATGGCGAGGTCTAATTTGAATCTGCCCGTGGCGTCACTGTGCTGGGCCCCCCAGCAGGCCTCGAAAGTGGCGACAGTTTTACAGATCGCACCCACCCAGGGATGGCGAGGTCTAATTTGAATCTGCCCGTGGCCCTCACTGTGCTGGGCCCCCGAGCAGGCCTCGAAAATGGCGACAGTTTCACAGATCGCAGCCCCCTCAGGGATGGCGAGGTCTAATTTGAATCTGCGCGTCGCCCTCACTGTACTGGGCCCCCCAGCAGGCCTCGAAAATGGCGACAGTTTCACAGATCGCAGCCCCCCCCAGGGATGGCGAGGTCTAATTTGAATCTGCGCGGGGCCCTCACTTTGCTGGGCCCCCCAGCAGGCCTCGAAAATGGCGACAGTTTCACAGATCGCAGCCCCCCCAGGGATGGCGAGGTCTAATTTGAATCTGCGCGGGGCCCTCACTTTGCTGGGCCCCTCAGCAGGCCTCGAAAATGGCGACAGTTTCACAGATCGCAGCCCCCCGCAGGCAAGACAAGAAGAGGCGGGAGGCGGGAGGCGGGAGAAGGGAGAAGGGACGCGACCACACTGCTCTATTCAAAACACATACCCAACCAAGGAGGGTTGGGAATAAAAATATGCCCGAATTTTTTCAATATGTTCTGCGTTTTTGTCTTCCCCACCACTTCCCAGATGTTCCCATCTTTTCTTGGGAGTCGACGATTCATTGTGTCTGTGTGTTTTTTCCCCTCCTGAAAGACGTGCGCGCGGCGCTCCGAGAGTCGATGCTGTTATGCAGATGCTCCTCCGGAGTCTGTGCGCGTGCGTGCGCGTGCGCGCGCTCTTCTCGCCTTGGGACTCTCTCCGCCTCGTCGCTGCGCGCGAGGCCGCGACCGCCAGGGTGTGTGCACGTGTGTGTACAGTCGGGGCGTTGACCGAAGGAACCCAAAATAAGGAGCGAGGCCCCTTTTTCCCACAAGTTGAACTTCGATGTACCATCGAAACCCTAAGCACAACCAAAGGCGAACTACAAAACAACTAAGGAACACCGAGCCCCTCCCCAACGAAAAGGGTTCCTTCTTCAGCGCCCCGACTGTATGTGTGCTGGCGGAATTCGCTCAACGTCGCCCCGTTCTGCTCCACTCGCCGGCGCAGTCCGTTTGCCTGGCCGCCGACGCAAAACATGTGTACGTGTGTGCCCCGCTGCAGCCCGTTGGGCCACCGCTGCGGTCGAAGGCGCACGCCCAGCCCCAGCGGGTGCAGCCGACCGCGACCTGCTCCAGCGCGGAAGCGCCACAAGTAAGTGCGTGTGTGTGTGTGTGTGTGTGTGTGTGTGTGTGTCAGTGCGTTCGTGTGTTAATACGTATGTGTGTGTGTGTGTGTGTAAGTGCGTGTGCGTATGTGTGTGTATGTGAAAACGACACGAAGATCGGGACAAAATCGGATCGGGATAACTCGAAACCTCTGAGAATCGGCGGGTTTGGAGGATGTATTGGGCGCCGCGGCCGCTCCAGAGCGTTCCGGAACGCTCTGAGAGCCCTCAGGAACGCTCTGGAGCGATTTATCCCGATCCTAGCCCTGTTTTACTACTGCTTGGCGGCGCGGAGTTAGTCGAGCCCACTCATGCCAGTCAGTGCGCTCGGCTGGCCCACTTAGAAACCAGATCACGCCAGCATATAGCCGACCCTCGTACCAACGTGCAGCTCCCCCCTCCCATCTCTAGCACCCCCCGCGGTCATCCGAGCACCCACGCTTGGCGGTGCGCACCAGGGGGTAAGGGGAGGGGGGGAAGGCTTCTCAGAAGGAGGCTGCTCCCTGAAGGCGGCTGCATGGCGTCCATAGACATGGTCCGCGCCTTCTGAGAAGTAGGGGCTCTCCTAAGAGGCCCTCCCCCCTCCGCGAATCCCCCAATGCGCGTGGCCGAACTGCCCTGTGGGGGCCTGGCCTCCTTCCTGTCTTGGCCGGCGCGCGCGCGCGCCCGCAGACCTGCTACTCGGGCAATGGCGTGGCCCAGCCCGCGAACGCTCAAAAAGTGTGTGTGTGTGTGTGTGTACGTGTGTTTCTTTGTGTGTGTGTGTGCTTTCGTGTGTTTGTTTGTGTGTTTGTTTGTTTGTTTGTTTGTGTGTGTACGTGTGTGTGCTTGCGTGTGTGTGTGTGTGTGTGTGTGTTGTGTGTGTGTGTGTTTGTGTGTGTACGTGTATGTGCTTGCGTGTGTGTGTGTGTGTGTTGTGTGTGTGTGTGCGTTGGTGTGTGTGCGTGTGTGTGTGTGTGTGTGTGTGTGTGTGTGTGTTGGTGTTGGTGTTGGTGTGCTCTGCTGGCCTCCGGGTGATCTGCGAGCAGCGAGGAGGCGACGAGGAGACACGGAGGCGGGGGCCTTGTCCGCGGCCTGCATCAGTACAGGTGCAACAGGCGCGTGCCTCCGGCGTCGACGGCGGCGTCGTCGTCGTCGGCGTCGTCGTCGTCGGCGTCGTCATCGCCGTCGTCGTCGGCGTCGTCGTCGTCGCCGTCGTCGTCGTCGTCGTCGTCGTCGTCGCCCTCCCCGCATCAGTCAGAAGCGCACCCCCTGAAGCCACTCCGCCCTCATTCCCATCCTCGCCTCCCTCGTCGCCCTCCTCCTCCTCCTCCCACTCCTCGCCCTCCCCCTCCTCCTCCTCCTCCTCCTCCTCCTCCTCCTCCTCCTCCTCCTCCTCCTCTCCTCCCACTCCTCCTCCTCCTCCCACTCCTCCCACTCCTCGCCCTCCTCCTCCTCCTCCTCCTCTTTCTCCTCCTTCTCCTCTCTCTCCTCCTCCTCCTCCTTGCCTTCGTCGTCGCCCTCCTCCTCCTCCTCCTCCTTCTCCTCCTCCTCCTCGCCTCGCCCTCGACCTTTATTATGCCTCCTTCGCTGGTTCTTCCTCATGGGGGCTGTCCGGTCGGACGGCGCGGCTCCTGCACCCTCGCCCCTCTCCGCCTCCGCCTCCTCCTTCGCCTCCTCCTCCTCCTCCTCCTCCATCTCCTCCTCCTCCTCCTCCTCCTCCTCCTCCTCCTCCTCATCCTCCTCCATCTCCTCCTCCATCTCCTCCTCTATCTGCTCCTCCTCCTCCTCCTCCTCCCCCCCCCTCCCCCTCCTCCTGTCGTATGCTCCGAGCTCCTAGCTGCGAGCGCTGCTGTACCAGGGTGGAGGGGGCCCCCGATGGCGCTCCTCGAGCGCCAGAGCTGGGCGGAGGACGAGGAGACCGGGAGGCAGCACGGGAGAGAGGGGGGGCGAGCGATCGCACGGCGGAGGGGATCCTGCAGGCGGGTGGACGCTCGCCACCGCTCGGCCGTCCAGTCCCCGCCCACTTCTGGGCATCGTGCACCTCCTTGTTCGCAAGAGGACCCCGAACGCTCCTCGATGGTCCTTGCCGAGCAGAAAAACCCACACGCGTCCGAGCGGTGCCAAGGAGAGCAGGGCGGGCGGGGCTGGTGCCTGCGCCTGCCAGCGCTGCGTCGGCGGCCCCGGCCCCACTCGCACAGAGCCCCGCCCGAACGTGCCCGTACTCGGAGGCCTCCTCCTCCCTTTTGACGCTGAGCGGATTTCAAGCTCTGGGCTCGCAGCGTTCCTCCTTTTTGGACTTGGAGTCAGGATGAAGCGCACGAAGCGACACCCGCCAGGAAGAGGGAACACGAGACAGGACAAGGGCAAAGCAAGAGCGAAAGAGAGCACGCGGAGCATGCGATGAACCGGGGAGCCTGCCAGGGCAGGAACGGGGTCCCGACACCCAAAAGGGGCAGGGCGGGCCGAGGCCTCGCACAGTGTTGCCTCGGGCCCGCTAGGGCTCTGGGCGAGAGAGTTCACGAGCAAAGTCGTTGCCCATGACTCGGGTGACGTACGGATCCAGGGGCTCCCAGAAGGCCATGAAGTCCGGCTCGACCTCCTCCGAAGAGGCTCCCCAGACATGCGGCCATCTCCCCTGGAAGACCTGGAGGAAAGCAGAAGCAGCAAGACGGCACATGCCCTGGGGGTACGCCTTAGCCCGAGAGGTGCGCCACTGCCAATTGCCCTCCATGCCCGCAAGGGTCTCGTGGCCTCGAGGGCCATGGAAGCACCTCCCGCCCCCCCGAGCAGCAAGTGCCCCCAGGCCAAGAGAAGGAAGGTGAACCGAGAGGAGGAGAGTAGGCTTCATCGACGGCGCCCCGAAAACGCACTGGTCGATGAGGACCCCCTCAACCTCGGGCCGCCCGAGGAGGAACTCCATCTCGTCGAGCTTCCACGCCGAAGGGGCCCCCAGGCGGAAGGGAGGAGCAGGGTGCTCCATCACCGCCGGGATTTCGAGGCGGAGGGCAACGAAGAGGAAGTAAATCGTCGTGCGGAGCAGCAGGTTCCCCGCCTCAACCTGCCTGGCTTCCTTGGGGGTAAGGTCGCCAAGGCCCCAAGGCTTGCCAGGGGTGCGGAGAGGCCTTGGCGGGGGACCCCTACACTCGGTGGTGTCACGGAGGCGGGCCTGCGACCAAGTCTCGCACGGAGGGCCAGCCCAGAATCCGGCGACCTTGCCGCCAGCCATGGCGCGATAACAAAAACGGATCGTCTCTGGCCTCGAAACATCACCGCATATGGGGTCGTTAGCCACG